TTTTTTTGAATTAAGAATTTCAAAAATAATCAAACATTAATTGTAGCAAATAAAGCCAGTATTATCAGTAAAATGGAATAATAAACATTATCATTTTGGAATTAAAAAATTGGCGCATATTTTACCATTGAAGAATTACTATTCGATAATATCATTCAATTGATTTCATTTTATTTTACTAGCAAAGTTAGCTTAATTGTTATTACAATTTCGTTATTAGTATTTCATACAATTCACTTAAATCTCTTTAACATTTCTAATTAATAAGTATAATTTTCATTTAAATTCATCATTATCAAATTTATTCATCTCTTTTCTGATATCATTAACTCAAGTAACTTTACTTAATATTCATTTTATTCATTAAAATAAACTATACAATGCAATCATAATGCTGAATATAATCAGCTTATCAGATGATATCAGTTTAATTTTATCAGAATGATTTAGATAAAGTATTTACTTTTCCTACAATTTAATATTGATAAGAAAATATTTAGGAAAATTTAATTTCAACAAAATTTCAGCATCCATTAACAAAACGTTCTAATGCAATCCTTTTACAACCATTGTATCGTTATGTTGAAATCGATGCACCGTATATTTTAACAGGAGCATTAAATGTAGCATTTGCTTGTACTGTTATAATATTCCTTTATATGTTTACTTTGAAATAATTTCATTTAATAATTTTGTTTTTTTTCGTTTGTCTATTTGTGCTGAATTAATTTCATAAAAATGTGCTTAACTTTTATAATTTCCACTTCAAGATTTATTAATTTCAGATTTATCAATTAATTATTTATTTATTTAAATTTATCCTTTTATTTAGATTAATTAATTAATTAACTATTTATTTATGCCTATTAATTTATCTATTTATTTAGATTTATTAATTTACATAAAAAAGTTCAAATGTTTCTTGCATTTGACTGAATTTTATTCAGATTTTATCAAAAATTAACTAAAATTTATCGTTTTATTCTTCTTTAGTATTTCAATGTTGTGAAATGAGTTTTCCAGTTCTCCATTATTATATTAAACTAAAATTTTTTTTTTGTGCCAAATGTAAGCATGCTATTCGAAATAAGCCTATTAGACACGTAGTCAAGCCATTTTCTTCAATTCATTTAGTTAAACAGTTACATAATGATATTACGATCATTTCCAAAATGTATTCGTTAATAGCTTAAAGTGATATTGAGATATATTCATTAATTAATAAATTCAAACTTATTCATAGGCTTTATAAAAAAAAAAATTATTCTTTCATTTTTGAACAAATGAATCGAATGGGAATAGCATATAAATTCATGTTGAAATTTCACTTGAAGTTTTTGTTTATTTCAAAATTTACAAAATGTTCAACTTATAAAATTTCATTACAACTAATCACCTTTGATGAAGGAGCAAGGGGATGAAAAAAGATTTCTGTAAAGCTAATAATTTAATTATTAATTATTTAATCAATTATTTAATTTGGTTATTAATTTAATTATTCGGTATTTAATTAATTTAATTATTATTAAGTTAATGGAACAATCATTGCTTGGTAGAATACAAACACATCTTGGAAGATAGGAAATACTTCAATTAATCTAATTTGCCTTGTTTTTGCTATTAGTGTCGGTATTTTATTAACATGAAAAGGTTTTTTATTTATTATACAAACTTTCCGGAAGTGTCAAGGAACACATTTCAACATCCGGTAGATCGTACTGCTTGACAACATCGGTTATGTGCATTAGCCACTGATGCTTTAAGAGGTGCGCAAATTGCCTGAAATTAACATAGGCAATAATAATTAGCTATAATTACCATTGAAAGTAGCAATAATAATAGAGTAATTTCAAATTTCAAAATAGTAATAACAAACAAATTGAATGTTTTTAGAAATTAATTTAAAATATAGGGAAGAAGAGCGAAGCATTGTAAATAAAAAACTAGTCTTTTTTTTTTTCAAATTAGGCGGAAATGCAGGAAAAATAAAAAGTTAAAAAATTGTCACAATTGATACTTTATGCGACCAACCATTTTATTTCGATGTTATTAATTGTTAAAAGGAAATACCTGAATTGAATGATTATTGTATGTTTGTTGCCAGTTGACATATTGTTTGACATAATTCTTGCACCAATAAGGATCAGGAAAGATACAGGTAGGATCTGAAATGGAATTAAAATGGGATAATTGTAATAAATATACAAATATAATAAATTACTGAAATACCTCGATATCGCATTAATGCTTCTTCATTTTGACGCAATACAGCTGTATAATTAGGTGAATTTGGATTAATTACTGGATTATATAGAATTGGAATTTTGGAACTGCTTGTTCGATTTAATTGGATATTAGTAGTTGTAAATGTTTGACGTCGATTTCGTACTAAAAAAAAATATTAGTGAAAAATATTGAAATATTTAAATGTTAAACTTTAAAACAATTTCATTTTGCTAATTGCAGGAAGTTTATGGATTATTTAAATTTTAATCTTTTTTAGTACGACTTTTTGGTAATACTTTTTTTATTTAAAACTTCGTATATCAATAGAAAGTTAAAAAAAATCAAAAATGTTTTCAAATAAATTTTCCTTATTTTCTATTTTAAAACAAGTGACATTAATGTTACACATTAATATTGTCACACACATTAATTAATATGAAATTATTTTACTGTTCAGTTTTTTGGATGAATTGTTGGTCGAGTAAAAGGTGCATAAAGTAGATAAATTGCAAATTATTGCATCAAATATGGGATCAATAAATGTCGCATTCATTAGCACAGGACTTGTATAAAACTAAATGAATTCATAGTTTAATTCTAAATTTTTGCAAAATTTTTCAAAAAAAAACATTCCATATTGAATTAAATCAAAGATTTGATTTAAAATGCGAAAATTTTCACAAAAGAATTAGAAAAATTGGTTTTTTTTTCAATACTATTGAATAAAGCTTTGTGTATTTCGAAATGACTTTTTTTTTTTGTTAAAATAAAGCAAAATTTAAATACCGTCCATATGGAACAATCATTGATACTGTTATTGAAAAAGTGATCGGTATAAAGAGATCGAGTGAAATTTGAATCCAATGAAGTCGAATTCTTGTACGTATAAGTTAAAGAAGCTTGTTCATCCTTATCACTCATCGATTCAGCTGACTCTATTTTCCCACTCTAAATTTAAACGCAAGAGTAATGAATTATGAAAACGACAATTAGAACTTTGTAAATTAATTTAGGCAACACGGGGGTACAAATGACCAAATGGACAGATTCATTGGCAAGCTTTGCAAGCTCAATTTGCTTTTCATTAGCATTGGCTTCATTGGCATTCATTGGCAAGCTCAATTTGCAACAAAAGTCTAATCTTGATAGTTTAATCTGTCAGGACTCAGAAACAAATCTACTCGAAATCAATATTACCTGATTTCTACATACAGTTTTTAAAATAATTCATGCTTCATTTTGGTTTTTTTAAAAAAAAAAATAAAAATTAACCAAGTTTTTAAATTGATTTAATTACTCAAATCAATTACCTTTATTTTGGGATGCAAAATAAAGTTATACCTTAATGCTGAAAATTTCCAACGATATAGCACCTTGTAGTCTTAAGATTGCTAATACTTCACTTTCATCTACCGGAGAATTTACCTGCAAAAAAATACTGTTTACAAAATGTCCAATTATTAATTATTGAGTAAAATTAAAATTATTTTAAATAAGGATAAAACATAATAGAGCAAATTTACAAGATATGTAATGAAAACTTTTTCCTAATTTAATCAAAGAAAAAAAGAAAAAAATACGAGTCAAAAGTAAATTACTTGAATTTTACTAAATCCGATACCAATCCAAAAATCATCATTCTCGGGTATACCGGAAAGTTTCAGTTTAAAATGGATTCGTTTACCTATTACCTGCCATTGTAGTAAATAATGATCACCAAAATTGATACCGCACTGACTAAGACTATAGTTGTAGATGTCATCCACAACAACCATTTCTAAATCCAGACATTTTTCAATTACAGAATATTTTCCAAGAGATGAACAAATGATCAACTGGGAGAAAACAAACCTTCGAGTAGTTTATCGAAGATTAGCTGCCAAAAGTTGCAAACTTTGGAAATAATTTTTTAGACGGAATCAGAATCATCTATCCTTTTAAAATTATTGCATAAATTTTTATGTTAACTTTTATCACGAATGCAACATTTTAATGAATCTTCAAACCAATTGAATTATTCAAATTCAAATTATTTAAAATTGCGGATTTCCGAGAATAAAGTTTGACAGTTAAACATTATGGCATTAGCCATAAATAATTTAAATTGAAATTCATAGGCTTATTAATTTAGTTATTAAAAATGACTGTATAATTTTCATAGGATTGGTTATATTTCCTTTAAAAAATTACAAAAGTATTGGAAAAAAAGTTGGAAAAAGTATTTGATGGAAAAATTTGATGAAGAAAATAAGAAATATCCAACCTGAAAAAGCCAAAATGTAGAAGATATGAAGCATAAGAATGATATGGAATAATTTGGGAGACATAAAAAAAAATTTATTAAATGATGAAATTGAATGATGGTGACAGTGTGTATGTGTGTGTGTGTGTGTATGTGTGTATGTGTGTGTGTATGTGTGTGTGTGTGTGTGTGTATGTATTGGTACTTATTCTTTATACTTTTAAATTGTTCAGTTGAATCACTGCAAACAGTGAAATTTCAAATAAAATAATGGAAAACGCGGAACCTTAGCAAACAATCTCTTCAGAATTAATCAATAGAGAAGCAAATTTAATGAAATAAACAAATCGTTTACTTTAAATAAATCGAATTGTTTAGTAAATCGTTTACTTTAGCAAATCATATATTTTAAGTCTTGTTAATGCAAAGAAATAACTCTGCTAATTGAATCTTTTTTTCTTTGAAATTCAAATTAAACTTATTTTGAGTGTTACTAAATTTGATGTTACATTCTTCCAAGATGCACTAACGATTTCAAATTGTTCTTCTACATACTCAAAAAAAAAAAAAAAATTACTGATCTTAGATTTATTGCTACTTCTGAATTCTATTCTTATCCTTTATTCCATTAATAATTAGTTTGAAACCAATTATTCATCAACATTTTTAAAGTTATTTTTTTAATTATAAATTAATATCAATTTAATATGGATGAGTTTTGATACGAAATATCGTTTTGAGAGATACTGTCAAGATATTACTGTATCATTTTTACAATCTAACAAGATATTACTCTATCTTAGACTAAAACTTCTCTCATAATTTCCTGCCCTAATACTTTTCATAATTCAAAGACATAATTTCAAATCACTAGGGGTTGATGGTGAATTCAAAGTTACACTTTTTCCTCATTCGCTATTTCCTTAGAAATAGGAAAATACTGTTAGTTCCATTTTTCCACTTAGCCAGATACCTCATTTGGCCAACTAAATTATCAGTAAGTTTAGGCTACCAAAATAACAATTATCTTCCCATAATAAATCCATTTTTTCTTGCTCATTCTTCGATATTGAATTACATAAATTACAAAGCTTGTAACATTTGATATTGCTTGATGATAACAATAAGATGTCGTTATCATTTATACAAATTTTATCAATATTATCTGGTAAATACTAGCAAATAAGCTTTTCTTATGAATGATAATCATGGAATTGTTTGATAATTGAAAAATTGATTTATAATCTTCTTAACAGTACAAGAAAGGTTTGAAATCTTTATACTTTCACTACTTATTGTAATTAGTTATTTTCTTTGTTCAAATGAGAATGTCACCGATTTTTAGAAGAAATATATAGCATGGATGCATGCTTATATTTGTTAGTAGCTCAAGTAGTATCAAATTTATTAATTAATATTTCATTTCATTAGTCATTTCTTTGCTTATTGTAGTATACAAATCGCAATCGACACCATTAACTATCTCTCTCTCCCTCTCTCTCTCTCCCTCCTCCTCTCTCTCTACT